TCTGGATGGCACACTTACCGGCCGCTCCTTCACTCGATTTTTGCGGGGCCGATCGGCTCCGCCTCCTTGCCGGTGATTGGCCGCCTGTGTGCCTTTCCTGAGCTACAGTTCTGGCGGCCAGTCACCGGTGAGGAGGCGGAGCGAGCAGCCGCGCGAACATCCAGTGGCCGAACCGAATGAAGGAGCAGCCGCGCTTCCTGGACCAGATCGTCGTGGGACCGGAGCCAGGTAAGAGACAGCAGCCTCTGCCCACCCCTGTACTTAGTGTCCCTTACATTGGACACTAAAAAGTGTCAGCATGCCGTATACCGGCATATGAGACGACCCCCGACTTTAGAGAAGATTTTCAAGGGGTAAAAAGTCGTCTTATACGCCGGAAAATACGGTAATAGGAACAAATTGATGCCCATTTTCGACAGCGGGGACAAGAAAAACCAAAGGCAAAGGCTTTTTTATTTTCTGAATAAACAAAACCCTGTAACTGCTTAAGGTCCACCCTATAGCAGAACTACTGCTACAGGGCGGACTCCCTGTGCAAAATCACACACATATATATATATATATATATATATATATTTATGTGTGTGTGTGTGTGATTTGCGTGACCATGGGCTGGGGGCGCGCACGCACCTGTCAACCTACCGGTGCTGTCATTTGGTGCCCAAGAGATCAATCATCAGATTCAGGTCTGGGATCACAGATCTTCCTGTACCTGTGTTTACATTTACACAGGTACAGGAAATGATGCAATCTTCTCTCTCTGGGCACATTCCGTCCCACAGAGAGAAGAAAGCAGATCCAAGTGAGTAAAACAGCACACCATTACAGTTAAAACACTTTTAGGACACATTTAACCCCCTGATCGCCCCCCAGTTAACCCCTTCACTGCCCTGTCACCAGTGTCAATATTACAGTGTTCAGATTCTTTTCTGATCACTGTATTAGTATCACCGGCGACTTCAGCTAGCATTTGCATCAGTTAGCGTCAATTGGTGTCCCTCCCAGATAGAGTCCAATTGCCCTTCAGTACACCAGTAATCACATTTAACCCCTTGATTGCCAGGAACACGCTCACATAAACAATAAACCTCCATTGCTAGTATAGTGTCTGAACGGATCAATATCTTTAATCATATCAGCACTATACCAGCGTTCACATTAGTATAGTGTCCCGAAAAATGCAGCGTTAGCGGGATCAGCCCCAGCACCTGCGTTTAGCCCCTACGCTTACTCCCCCTTCTCCCCAGCAAGTTCAGTGTCAGTAGGTCACTGTCACTTGATACATTGCACACAAAAACAGTGTTTGCACAATCAGGCCTGATCTCTGTTAGCACTTGCAGGTACATTTTTTTTGTAGTGGTTCAAGCAGTCCCTGACAGCTGTTCTTTTTCATGTGAGTCGCACTAGGTACCTATAAATTTAGTGGCCAAAATGTCCAAGAAAATGTACTCTAGTGAAGAGACCTACAGGATTCTGAGCATGTCAGATGAGAAGGAAGGGTAAGACACACTGACAAAATCTGCCTCAGAATGCAAACCTGTAGACAGCAATGGCACCCTAACAGATAGCTCAGATGATGAAGAAGAGGTCCCTGCTAAGGTCAGGCATACCTGAACCCATTCCCAGGTTGCTGGGATATTACAATTGCATAATGACTCTCATATACAGCGGACTGCCAGTACTAGTGCTGCTCTACCTTTTGGTGAACTGGGCGAGCACCAGCGGCCTAGTACATCCTGGTCTTTCCCATACCAGCACTTCAGAATCACTTGGTGATGTGGCGAGTCCCATAAGTGCAATACAAGCTGGTTCGGTGGCTAGCACAAGTAGTGTCCCGCAGCTATGAAGAATTCATACCTGTAGAGCCCCTGGTGTCCTTCCAGATGTGCTTGTGAATCCTGATTGGCAGCTCACAAATTCTGCAGCACTCTTACTTCCCCCATTCACTGCCCAACGCAGAATTCAGGTGGAAACAGCAAATTTAACTACTCCGCTTGGTTTTTTGGAGCTGTTTTTCACGGAAGATCTGTATGCATTCATTATGGATGAAACCAATTTATATGCACAACAGTTTATCGCTGCCAACCCAAATTCAAACCTTGCCAGACCATTTGCATGGAAACCCATTACGGTTTCTGAATTTAAAGTTTTTTTGGGCCTAACCTTTAACATGGGCATTACTAAAAAAAATTAGTTGTGGTTGTATTGGTCCACAGATCAAATTCATCATATGTCCGTGTTCTCTGCTGCCATGGCCAGGCATAGATATGAGAATATAATAAGATTTATGCATTTCAATGACAATGTACTCTGTCGTCCTTGGGGTGATCCTAAATTTGACCAGCTCCACAAAATTCGGCCCCTCATAATTCACCTTAACCAAAAATTTGCAGATGTCTATTCTCCCCAGCAAAACATCTGTGTTCTTGAGGCCGCTTTGCATTCAAACAATTTCTCCCCAGCAAGCATGCCAGATATGAGGTCAAGATGTATAGGACCTGTGAGAAGGCAAAAGGCTATACAACTAAGTTTTGGATTTATGAGGGAAAAGATAGACGCGTGGAGCCCCCCCGATAGTTTTGGACTTGGTGTCATACTTTTTCCATATGGGGTACCACTTATACGTGGACAATTTTTTATTCAAGCGTGCCACTATTTAGACATTTGTACAATCTTGTGGCACCGTGTAACCTAATCACTGTGGCTTCCCCCAACGGCTTGTAAATACCTGTCTTAGAAAGGGGGAAAAAGCCTGCTTGAGAAATGATGAATTGCTTGCAGTGAAGTGCAAGGACAAATGGGATGTTTTCATCCTGTCTTCCATTCACGCAGAAACGACCACCCAAATTGCCACGGCAGCTGGTGTTGTTGAGAAGCCCCTCTGTGTCCACGATTATAACCTTAATATGGGAGGGGTGCATTTCAACGACCAGATGATGAAGCCGTACTTAGTTTCCCAAAAAGCCAGACGCTGGCACAAAAAAGTGTCTGTTTATTTATTTCAATTGGCTCTATATAACGCTTTTGTGCTTTACAAAGCAACTGGACGTAGTGGATCCTTCCTAAAATTTCAGGAAGAGATCATCACGGCCCTTTTGTATCCAGAAGGTGCTATGGCCCAAACCCCCAACCTAAATGCAGTTAGCCGGCTGCATAAGAGGCAATTTCATTCCTGGTACCCCAACCCAAAGGACACCCCAAAAAAGATGTGTCTGTAGCAGACACAGAATTAGACATGACGCATGCTTTTTATGTCCCTCCCTATCCTGGCCACCCTGGTCTCTGCCTCAAGGACTGCTTCCGTCGCTACCACACACTAGTGGAGTATTAGTATAGGGTACAGCACGGCACAGTTCAGGGCATGTATTTGCACATTGTCTCGAAAAATGTTAAGTATTCAGGAAACTGGCTATCACATTTTGAGAGACCCTACAATATGGATAAAGTTAAAGTTAAAAAAAAATAAAAAATAATTTAAAAAACATAGAAAATAAAAAAATTTAAAAAACCAAAAATAGTTGTAGTTTTTTTGTTGTCAAGTTACTTTTATACCGTTACGGTTTTACTGTTACAAATTTATTGTTATTGTCTTATTGTTAACCATTGCTGTTTTCTTTGCAGGAATGCCATTCAGCTGCAATGCCGATCTGTTTATTCTGATAGCAACAGGGTCTTGCTTTCAGAATATACATAAGTAAGTGTGTGCAGCGCTGTTGAATGAGATTTTTCATCCACAGTTAAAAAAAGAGCATATATGCCCAAGCATGGGGGCCTGGGGTGGCCAGTGGGTGGATGGTTCGGCATAGATTTTTTCATCCACATTGATTGATGTAAATAGAGGACTCTGTTAGGTTCTCTTTTTTTTTTTCGTACATCTCACGGCTGAACAACAAAAAAAGAACATTCCATGTGTGCCCACCATTAGAAGTGGATTTATGCAGGGCTGTATATGCTAATGGTTGGCATACTGTACACTTTTTCTGGCAGAGATTTCTTCTCTTTTTTTCATTCAGCCCACAGGCTGCAGGCTGCATAAAAAAAAAAAGAACATAGTATATATACCCAACAAGGACCAGCGACGTACTGATATAATCCTGGTATAATTTTTTTCAGGCAGTGATCGGTTTTCATGTAAAAGCAATCCTAGTGGCTAATTAGCTGCAGGATTGCTTTTACAAGCAGCAGGAGAAGATTTCCCTCCCCCCCCCTCCCGTTGCCTTTCACAACCTTCTCGGTCAGTCCCGTGCCAATGGGGGAACCTGAGAATGCAGCCAGTGTTTCTGTTTTCTTTTTTTGTATTTCAAAACCTTGTGAGAAAAAATGAGATCTGCAAAACACTCAACATGCCTCCTATTAAATTCCTTGGGGTGTCTATTTTCCAAAAAGGGGTCATTTGGGGGGGGTTTGGTGCTATCCTGGCATTTCATGGCCTCCGAAACTGTGATAGGTAGTGAGGATGTGAAATGAGGAAGTTACACACCTTCAGACTTTCAAGGTGGTCATTGGATTTTGGGCTCCTGTGTGTGGCTACACTCCCAAAAAGTCTTGCACAAATGGTATCCTCATACTCGGTAGAAGTAGCAGAATGTAATTTGGGGTGTAATTGCACATATACCCATGGAATGTGTGAGCAATATATCATTTTTTCTGTACAAAAAAAGACAATATTCCCATTTCCCAAAAACGTGTGGAAAAAAATAAATCTTCCATGGACTCAACATGCCTCTCAGCAGATAACTTAGGGTGTCTACTTTCTGAAAAGGAGTCATTTGGGGGTGTTTGTACTGTCCTGGTATTTTAGCACCTCAAGAAATGTGATGGGCAGTCAGAAAGTAAAAGCTGTGTAAATTACAGTATCTATGCCAGGGGTCCGGTCACAAAAATTTTCTTCTGGACGAGGTCTGAATAGGGTGTGCCTGTCAGTGTGCCCCCTTACATTAGGTGTCGCCATCAGAGTACAACTTTACATTATGTATTACCATCACATCAGGTGTGCCCATCAGAGTGCTCCTTTACATCAGTTGTCCCCATCAGAGTGCCCCATTACATCAGGTATCCCCATCAGATTGCCACCTTACATCTGGTATTCCCGTCAGAGTGCCCCCTTACACTCAAAGTACCCCTTTCTATCATATTTCCCCATCAGAGTGCCCCTTTACATCATATTCCCCATCAGAGTGCCTCTTTCCACAGTATGTGCCCATTTGTGCCCCCTTAACATAAAATGTGCCCATCAGAGTACCCCTTAACATAAAATAAGGGCCATGCTGATGGGCACATTTTATGTTAAGGGGCACTCTGATGAGCACATTTATATTAAGGGGCACACTGATGGATACATTTTATGTTAAGGGGCACTAAGATGGGCACATTCTATGTTGTGCCCATCAGAGTGCCCCTTAACATTCAACGTGCCCATCAGAATGCCCCTGTAAGACTACACCCTATCTTGAGGGCAAACAGGAGCTGTGCTGAAATCCTTGCTGGATGCTAGTGTACAGGCAGGGAGCAGGAGTCGGCGAGACAGCGAGCTGAAAGGGGCGGGGCGCACACGTCATGTCATGTTGCTGTGACGACCGCCATGCTCAGCGGTGGATCTGTCATTGCGGGCTGGCAGTCCAGCCGGCAGCGCTTCTGGGACCTTTCACGACCTCCATTTAGTGACCGCTGATCTATACCATAGTTTGTAGATGCTATAACTTTCACACAAACCAATTAATATACAGTTATATGGTTTTTGTTTACCACGGATATGTAGCAAAATACATTTCGGCCTAAATTTATGACGAAACTTTAGTTTTTTTGGATTTTTTTTTTATAACAGAGATGAGAAAATATTTTTTTGTTCTCAAAATTGTCGGTCTTTTTTTGTTTGTAGTGCAAAAAAAACCCAGAGGCTATCAAATACCACCAAAAGAAAGCTCTACTTGTGTGAAAAAAGGACATAAATGTCATTTATGTACAGTATTATTGCATGACCGCGTAATTGTCAGTTAAACTAGCGCAGCGCCATATAGCAAAAAATGGCGTGAATTCCAATATCTATACCACCATTTGTAGACGCTATAACTTTCACACAAACCAATTAATATGCAGTTATTGGGATTTTTTCTTATCAAAGACATATAGCAAAATACATTTTAGCCTAAATTTATGATAAAAAATATCCAATAAACTCAAATTTCATGACAGAAATGAGAAAATATCGGGGGGGGGGGTTTCAAAATTTTCGGTCTTTTTTTGTTTATAGTGCAAAAATAAACCCCAGAGGCGATCAAATACCACCAAAATAAAGCTCTATTTGTGTGAATAAAGGACATAAATTACATTTATATATAGTATTGCATGACCATGCAATTGTCAGTTAAACTAGCGCAGTCCTATATATCAAAAAAATGGCGTAAATTGCAGTATCTATACCATAGTTTGTAGACGCTATAACATTCATACAAAGCAATCAATATACACTTATTGGGATTTTTTTTACCAAAAACATGTAGCAGTTTTTTTTAATTTTCAATCTTTTTTTGTTTATAGCGCAAAAAATAAAAAACGCACAGGTGATCAAATAGCACCGAAAGAAAGCTCTACTTGTGTGAAAAAAAGGAGATAATTTTTGCTTGGGTACACCATTGCATGACAGCACAATTACCAGTAGAAATAGTGCAGCGCTGAATAGCAAAAAAAGGCCTGGTCAGGAAGGGGGGGTAAATCCTCAGGAGGGCAAGTGGCTAACGTGGCCCTCAGTTAAGGAATGTAATTATTGTAATGTGCATGTGATAGAAATGTTTCATCTTGAATTAGAACTTTTGTGGCCATGAACATTCAATCTTTTGAACAATTATGTAAGGTATATGAGAGAATAATACGTAAATGAATTTATAAATAGATTCTGATAGATATATATATATATATATATATATATATATATATATATTACATCCCCATTATCATATGATGTATATATACAGTAAATCATTATTTACATTATTCTGTTGATTTCGTAAGCATTAAAAGAAACCTGTTTAAACACATTTGGGAATCCATTCAAGTAACAAGTATGGACAAAATTAGTTGACTCAATGAGAGCATTTGTTGAATGCTCTGACAAATGATTTTTCAAAATTTCGTATAATCATTTGAATGCAAAATCCAACCGTGTACGACTAACTTTATGCTGTGACAAGAACTAGTAAACTGCAATTGTGGAGCACCAGAAGCAGCAAACAAGGGTACATAAAATGACAAATATTGCTGTCTCTATGTATGTATTCACTTGAAGGAGAAAAAAATAAGCATTAAGGCTAGGTTTACAATAGTGCAGGCTGTGGGAAGGCGTGGAATTGCATGCCTTCCCACATCAAAAACGGGCTGCAGCTTAGATGTGTAGAGGTACCATTAATCCTAAAGGCATGCATACACGCTTGAAACTGCACTACATTATGTGGTTTCATGGTGGCTGCAATTCTTGAAAAGGTGTAGGAACCTTTCCCCTGCATTTTCATTAGGTACATCAGCCCATTCAAATGAATATGCTGCTGTGCCTGAGCAAAGGTGACCGCTGGGAAACTGCGTAGATGTGAGCCAAGCCTTAAAATCTGCTGTCATACAAGGAATTACTGTATGTTCACAAAGGTGAATGCCAGCTCCTGGAGATCTCTTTTGTTTGCAACTTACTGGTTCACTGAGCACCGGTAGTAAAGCTTTGGCTTTACTCCAGAGCTCCAAGAGGAGAGATATGGCTCTGATACACAACCCACCCCTGCACTTCCCACCCCTCCTCTCTCCTGCCCATTCACAAAAGGATTTGCATTCTGTGACTGGGCAAGGGCAGAGGAGGGGTGGGAGGTGCAGCTGCATTGTAGGAGACCCATATCTCTCCTCCCAGTATCCTGGAGTATAGTGAAAGCTATAATATTGTCTATACTATTGGCGCTCAGTGAACTAGTAAACTGTAACACAGAGAGCTCCAGGAGGTTTCATACACCTCTATGAACCATATTCCTGCAAACAACACTATGGCTGCTGTGATAGCTATTCTATCGGCGCTCAGTGAAACAGTAAATTGCAAAAAAACAAGGAGAGAGCGTCAGAAGGTGACATACACCTTGTTGCACTGAACTTCTTGTATGTTAAAAACATATTTTTCTCTCTTGGACTTTTTCACTATATATAAAAACTATATTCTATTTAATTGCTGCCCTATAGCAGAACTACTACTACAGAGCGGCAGGGCTGAGCAAAATCACGTATATATGTGTGATCTTGTATATTCGGGTAGGGGGGGCCCGCTGTAGCCGCATGCACGCCCTACCCACATTGCCACTGGCAGTTACAGCTGTCGATCACTGGGTCCCAGCCGGAGATTCCCCGCCAGCACCCGGCGATCACTGAGGAACACTGACGGAGGAAAGGTCTGTATGTAAACAATACAGATCTCTCCCCTGTCAGCTCCAGCACGCTGCTTTGTATTGCTCTGCATAACAGAGCAGAGCATTACAAAGCAGCGTGCATACACAGCACACATTTAACCCTTTGCTCAGCCTAGATGGTAACCCCTTCCTGCCCAATGTCATTAGTAGAGTGTCAGTGCTTTTTAATAGCACTGATCACAGTATTAGTGTCACTGGGGATGTCAGTGACAGTTAGTCAGTTCCCACCCAGTGTCAGAATGCCCACCGCAGTCCCACAGTCCAGCTATAAGTCGCTGATAGCCCCATTAGTAGTACAAAAAAAAATTCCATTACATATACCCCCATTTGTAGATGTTATAACTTTCACGTAAAACAATTAATTTACACGTATTGGGCCTAAATTTATGACAAAATTAGATTTTTTTTAATTTTTACTGGATATGTTCTATAGCAAAAAGTCAAAAATATTGTTTGTTTGTTTTTTCACAATTGTTAGTCTTTTTTTTTTTTTTTTTTTTAAAGTGCAAAAAATAAAAATCGCACAGGCAATCAAATACCACCAAAAGAAAGCTCCATTTGTGGGGAAAAAGGACATAAATTTAATTTGGGTGCAGCACTGCATGACCACGCAATTGTCAGTTAAAGTATCGCAAAAAATAGCCTGGTCAGGAAGGGGGGTAAATACTCTGGAGGGCAAGCGGTTAAAGCAGCATTGCTCCAAACATTTCAAACAGCCCTCAAATTTTTAAGCATTTGGTGGTCAAAGTTACACATGAATATAATTTGCCACATAAGACAGGCTATAGATAATGCATTTTGTTTCGTTCAACCAGTGAGTTAAACGGAAAAAAAAAATTACATTCCCCCATCAACACACTTGGTGTTGATGAAGGAATCCCTTTGTGGTACAGTTGTATTCTGGCAGCGGGGAGAGTTCCATGCCGTCAGAATACAATGATCAGTGTTGCAGATTATAGCTGGCAGCACCAATCAGGTGAAAAAAAAGACAGGCTGGATGTACAAAGTTGATGGACTGAAATTTGGCTGGTTCCTGCAGAAATGACTGAATTTCAATCCATCTTTGGCTGGCGTATTTTGACCAGAATACAGGCACTATAAAGTTCAGCAAGATTACTATGTTAAGGAGTGGTCTTTGGCTTACAGTATACTATACTGAAACATTTCTTTTCCTGTTCATAAACCCTACAGCAGAGTCACTGGGAATAATTTATGAAGATAAACAGAACAATTGGGTGGAGGCGTGGACACTTTATGTCTCAAGGACAAACATACTATTTAAGGCACCACTAATGCAGGCCATAGACGGGTAGTTTATCGGCCGAACGCCGTTAGTGGGGCCAGCCTGTCGGCCGTTTTTCACGGATTTTCTCATTTAGTATTATCGGTCGCGCTGCCAGCAGCAACAACCAATTTTTCCATTTATCAGCCGAAAATGCGGCCGATAAACGATCTGTCTATGGCCAGCCTAAGCCCCCCAAAAAATGATATTAAAGTGAATATTGCATCAAACACAACAATGAGTAAAAATAAAACCAAACAGAGCATGAATAGTAAACATTCTAACAATTATACTTGAACTGAAGTGAGCATATATTTAAATCTGTGCACTATTACAATTAGTGAAAAAAGTCCAAATACTTCCATATGAAGTCCAGTGTGATAATGCTATACAGCATTTTTATCGTGCACACTCCTTCACTGTGAAATCTTCCACCATTCCACCATGCTCAAATGCAAACAAAGGCTTACCAAAAACACCATGACCCTCTGTATATGAATGGTCATGATAAGCATGTACAGATATCTCCAAATGGCTCCTCTCCTCCTTTGTGCCCAGAATAACCAACACCAATTCAGGTGTAATAAGGGTATATGTTTAAAAACAAATAAGCCCGCAATTATTATTTATTTCAGGTACTTATATAGCGCTGTCAATTTATGCAGCGCTTTTACATATACAGTTGTGACCAAAATT